GGACCAAGGACGAGGAAGGGCTGCGAAAGGTCGGTGCTCTGAGAGCCGCTCCTGAATTTCACATCCTCTATGATCCTGTGACCTCACGATAAGGGAAGTTTCCAGATATGTGTCCGTTGCAGGAAGGACCCCCCCTTGATGGTGTTCCTCTTACACTATTTCTTGATTCCCAAACAGCTTCCCCCCGGCACCCCGGTGTGCCTCGGCTTCCTTGTGCCGACCACCACGCCCTCTCTGCGCGTCTCCCACCTGTCCCTGGGATGACACGGGCCCGCCCGGCTACTCCAGGGTGTTTCCCGTTGCGAGACCCTCCATGCACCCCGTCTGGGAAGCCGCCTCGCATGTAGGGCTGCAGTCGCTGATTCCGGGCATGGGGACGCGGACGTCTCCGGGGCCCACGGAAGTTACCCACAAAGCCCTGTGCCCCCAGACGTTTGCAGGAGGAGCTGTACTCTGTATGGATCAGACAGTTTTAATGGTTAGACCGGGGTGGGCTCGCATAGTAATTGCCAAGCAGGGGACTTTTAACCTCACAAAGTCAGAGGGTCACCCTGGGTCCACCCAGAGCTACGTGAGAACTGACCTCACGTTCAAGGGACACAGGAAGCCCTGGGGGCCCGTCGGGCTGAGCTAGGACTGCCCACACGCCCAAGGGGCCGCCTTTGAGTGGTCAGTCCCCCGGGCACAGCCATCTGGTCCCCTGTGGCTTCTCTGCAGAAGGAGATTACCAGAAGCCTGGGAGCGAGCCCTGGAAGAAGCAGTTTGAGGAAAGCACTAAGGAGAGACAGCATACACGCTCGGGTGGGCTTCACATGCACTCTGGGATTTATTAGAGCTCAGTGCTGGCGGCTGCAGAGCCTGGGCGCTTGCACCAGCCAGGGTGGGTGCCGTGTGGACGACCCGGGCTGGGGTCGGGGGACGCCGGGGGTGACTCTGTCCGCTTGGTTAGTGGGGATCAGGCGGCTTTGCTGTAAGATGGTCTCGTCAGGTCAGAAGGTCTCAGGTGGACGAGGTCTGCCTGCCGGGAGTTCAGACAGCAGCTGCTTCTGGCCCCACGGAGGAGGGGTCCCAGGAGGCCACGGGCTAGCCGCAGTTAGGGGTGCCGCAGGGAACAGGCCTGAGGACCAGGGTGGGGCAGGAGGGCCGGCAGCACCCGGAGGACTGGCAGGAGGAGGTCACACACACAACAGGCTTGCAGCTCACAGGCAGGTACACAACAGGCTTGCAGCTCAC